GCGTCGGCGGCAGCGGCGGCTGCTGCCCAACAGAAAGAGACAGAAAGAAAGAAAAAGAAACCGCCGCCCAGGCCGGGGAGGAACAAGGATGGACCGGTTAAGAGGAGGAACGAAGAGGGTAGAAACGCGAACAGCGAAGGAGAGGAAAAGATCGAGGCTCGATCTCTCTGAGTGCCTCTGGCCGCTGGCCTCACTCCCCCACTCCCCCCTGCCGCGAACCAACAACCGATCTCCTTCTTCAGTGCCGGCGCCGCACGAGTTTCCTACAGGTGGACTTTACAACCTGCCCGACGATTTTTTTACCTTCCGTCTCCCATGGGCTCGAACTCTTCGCGTTTCGAGCATGACGCGTCCCACGATCGCCAGGATTATGTCTCTTGCCGATAAATAATACACGTACACCTCGGCGACCGTCTCAATTTTGAAATTCAGCTATCAAAAACTGGAGCAAACGAGAACGGGGGAACGAGTATTTTGAATGCGGTGAATTTCCTGAATGGACTTGATCAGGTGTATAAATGTTCTGGAGAAACTGTCTTTCTGGAAGGTTTCAGTGTAATGGAAAAGATGGGGGATTCGTCTGGGGATAGTGGTAGGAGGAGATTGAGTATGTCTGATGGTGCTGGATGGAAAATATTCGGAGCAGAACGATGTTTATCGAGCAAGGGGGGCACCGAACCATAATATTACGCACCTGTTCCTCATACCATGTCCCTACCTAAACCTCCTGCGTTCAACCTGCGCGGCATTGCATCGTAGGTACTGGTAGATAGAATACTCGTGGATCTCCCTCCCTCATTCCTGGTCCCCTTTGCTCTACGTCTCCGTTAGCGATGGATTCGAACTCAGGTGATCCTCCGACAGAACACTGGTATACTTTCGATAAATTTTCGTTTACATATGTATGTTCCTGTCGCGTCGTATTCATTTGGTCGTAATTTCACAGTGTTAATAGTCAATGATGAAAGTATTCCGACAGTAAAATCGAATTACTATGATAATCATATCTTTGCGATAAATTTTTTATTTAATACCTTAATGATATCACTAGCTGGTTGAATAAATAATGAGTTTATACTAACAAACGATATGCCCCGTTTTAAATAAACACTAGATTAACATTAAATTACATTACGGATTATTCATGTGCCCAAAAACTCGAGAAATCTTACACCTCTTGGGTGTGTGTTATCTTTGGTATTCCCGGTACTTATCTAACCTCATCACGCCGCATTACTCACGCTTAATACTGCTAATTCTAGGCCATAAAAGTTAATCTAATATCTACACCACTCGTTCTCCGTATTACCCGTCAGTCTACGTCAAGTCTACAGTTCTACAAGAATCACAGTTACCAATTCTCACTGAAATAACTAACATAGTTCACTAACTCGAACCTTTATATAATTTCAACGAAAAAACCAAGCTACTTGTACCCTTCAGACTCAAACTTTCCACTTATACATCATTAATGTTTAGATTTATTAAATTTTTCAACGAAGTGAATTAAATTTCTATCGCAATATTTCAACATCCTTGCGTTATTCGACGTGTTTAAGGTTCCAAAGTCAGCACGGAACCAGACAGCTTCCCTAAGGATGCTTTAGAAAATCGCTCTGGACCGAAAGTTACCAAGCGCCCGAACGGCATTTGTTCCACCTGGATCATTAAACGCGAGGGCGTCGATCCCATCTCTAGACCGTGCTCCAGGTTCTCCTGCGTCTCAGTTCGACTTCCATTGGCTGGCACCCTCGGACTCTGTCGCACCGTCGGCCAGGAGCGAGGCAGTCGGCGCACAGCATCCAGCAGCAGCGCTACTAGCGGCAGCCGAACGGAAAGACTCCCAGGCAAGTCGTGGCCGGTTTACCTGTGTGCCCGCGTGCGTGTGGACCATGCGTGTGCCTGGGCTGCGTGGGTGTGCGGCCGAGGTAGCCTACCTGGCGGCGTCCAACACGCAGTAAACCGCGCGCTCTTTCGTATCCACGATCCGGAAAGAAGGGACGTGTGCGGTCGATTCCACGATTCATCCAGTCTTTTCCACGTTTCTTTTTCTCCCTGTCTCTCTTTCTCACGATAATTTCGAGGTGCATATCGCGCGAATCCCGTGCAAGAAAAAGGTGCATTGGAATACGATTCTGGTCGCGTGGCCCCAAGTTCCAGCCAGGAATCGAGTGGCTGACCACAGCTCAGTGCGTGCGGATCAATGTCGCCAGTGTGAAATCGGTGTATGTGTGCTTACGTGGGTGCTCGCGGCTGGTTTCTCGATCGAACGACAACCAGACGAGTCTCAGTGTTCAGTCCGTCGACTCGATGTAGCCGATCCTGGTGCCGCGACGAATGCTTCCGCCAGCGATCGCTGGTCAAGATCGGGATACACAGATGGAGATGCGACCCTGGACCACAGAAGGAGAGTAAACCCGCGATCGGGAAGTGTTCTCGGCCGACGTACACCTGGTGAGCATTTCCGGATGAATTTCGAATGGTTCGATCCTACCAACCCACTCCCCCCGGGGGATCGGGAACACAAGCGGGTGTCCACGTTTGTTGCATTCCTGTGGGCATTCGCGATTCCAACATGGCCGCTGGGACTAGCCGTGACCGCTGGGTCCGCGGAAGCCATGTTGGCAGGTGTGCTCGACTCCAGATAACCAGTTCACATTCGTGGAACGCACGCGGCTGACAAACGGGGACGGGTTCCTATGTATTATTCGGGAATCGGATGGGAAACCGTACGTGATAAGGTTATTCGATCGGTCTATCGATCATCCGACGAATTCTCATTTTAAGATGCTGTAGATTTTAATTTTTTTTTTTTTGGGAACAAATTTTGTTGTAGATTAGAATCGTTGAATACGACACCGAAGGAATATACTTTTTCGAACATTTTACTGCCTTTACTGATATACGTGAGATGATATAAATTTGAGCTATTTATTATTGTTGTAAATGCACAGACGGAATATTTAAATCCATTCGCGCTGTAAAAATTGTTTCGTCGTACCTTGATACTTTGCTCTGCACATTGTGAAAGGTGCTTTATATTTGGGTTACTGTATTGGTAGCATAAGGTGCCATGAAAGATGCCATTATTTAGTCCGTGAAAACAACACCCGCCGACGTTTATTGGGAGTCAGGGAGTAGCAAGATGGCGGATGTGTTTAACGTACTTTACGCTTAACCTTGTCACGTGGATTTTTAGTATCAGAAGAATAATTAAAAACGATGATGTCCGCATACGTTAATTTTTATTACTTTCGGGCGGTATCGGTTACGTTTTTTAACTTCCTTTTTTACGAAGCAATAAGATAAGGAAGGATTTATGTGGGTGCCTTGTAAATGCTGCTGAAGTCCTTGAATTGCGTTTCCAAGGTATTTCGTAATCGAAGTACACGTTACCATTTTGCAACAGTGTGAAAGTCATTTTAAAACGAACAGTTCGCTGTTTTGAAACATCGCAGCTCCCGTTGAATTTCACTTGTAAATATTTCAAATGTTTCTCTCGAATGTTTAGCATCATGAAAAATTTATAAATGTGCAACAGACTGGAAAGATGTTAGCAATATTTATTGATACAAATGTTTTTATCACTAAAAAAAAATAAATTAGAGCAGACGCGTTAAATTCTCAAATAAAATCTAAATTTTGTTAGAATAATCTATTTGACTGAAATTCATTCAAGAAAAATATAATATTGTACATTTTCGCTTGTTATTTCTTTTACTAAGAATACTTTTAATATTGTGCAATTTTTGTGGGTTATCAGAGGAAAATAAGAAATGTGTTGTCAAAATATGTTCCGTGTTTTTTTGTTTTCTTATTTTATATAATACTTTTAATGATAGAAAGTATTCTGAAGGTAACATGGAATGGCATTGATTGACTGGTCAAATACACTTTTGTTTTTATTAGTGAATTTTATCAATATTTTTTATTCAACTATTTAAAATTATGCAATCTTAAAAATAATTGAGAAAAGAGATTGAAATTTTTTAATGACGTTTCACTGTAATTTTGTTAGGCTTTATTAACACTTCATATGGAGTAATGACGAGTCTTTATTAATACGTTAAAGGGAAACAAATTAATCTGATACTACATTATACAAATCGATTTTAAATTTATTTATCATTAAAATAAATATGATTTACTTACATGTTTCATTTAATTAATTGATTTATCTGAAAAATACTGACATACTTTACATAACAAAGTGCTAGAATGACTATACATGTATACCAAGATCTGTGCAACCGAAATATTTATTTAACATTTACCAAACACTGAGACAAAGACTAACAATTTGTAACTTCACACTGTTCAAAAATTTATATTAAAATCAACTAGCTATTAGGTTGATGTACAAACAATGTTTTTTTGCGCGTTTCACTCTGACAATCTTAATTTCTTGCGAAACTGAATTGTACCTTACTGTAATGTGTAAATTATTATAATTGAAACACTGCAGTTATATATGCAACTATCGAATACAATAAATACTTTTTTATGATAATTTACAGAGATAATGCATTACTCAGATCGGTCAAGTTTCTTTCTTCACAGAACTAAGTCTCATAAGTATTCCAAACTATTATACACGTGTCAGGAAAACCCCCGCAAAATCGATGGGAATATACCTGTAGCTACTAAAACAGCCTAAAATTCTCTTTTCTCTCGTGTCAAATTCAAATCAATACGCAATTGTGTTCGTTACTCCTGCCGTACATTAAATGTACCAATAAGTATATATTTTCTCAGAATGAACTCAAACATGTATGCTATTTATTATTTTCCACCAACATCCAAAGGCATTTCGACTGAACAAGAAATCGGGAAAGTGTTTTGAATTTAAATTCTACTACACCCTTACTGCAACCCTAGTGAATTACTTATCGGTACACCTAATAGTATTCTCCCGATTCCGTATTCATTCAAGAATCGCAAAGAAGCATGTCGAATCTGACCGATCACGACGGGGGCTGATTTGAATTCCAGGTGTCATCGGTATGCCGACGGACATCATGGCGTCGTCGGCCTCGGCCTCGGCCACGGTCTCGGAAGAGACGAGCAGAGGTCGGGACTCGAGCCTTGGACCATCGCCAAGGTCAGCTCCCTCTTCAGGTGCGTCATCCTCAGGATCCGCGGCTCAATCGACCTCCAGAGGTTTCGACCCGTCTAGCGCCCTGGCTGCTTATCACCACCATCGACACGGCCTGGTAGCTGGTTTGGGTCACCCTCACCACCGTGAATCCTCGGCGTTCGTGCCCGTCGTGCCGTCAAGGTTGCACTTGGCGCCGTACCCAGGCGAAATGCATCCCCATTTAACCGGGCCACCGCCCTCGTCGTCCACAACGTCCAGTTCGGACCACGAGGTCAGCGCAGAGACCTCAGTCGCCAGAAAGTCCTCGTCCAGTTACGAAATCATGGCTATGATGGCTGACAAGAGGAAAGAGTTGGCCGCTAGGGCTCTTCTGCTTCCTCCGCCACCTCTTCTGGAACCACCACCAGGCTACCCAGTGTTCACCGGACCCTTCCCAGCTGGTTCAGCTCTGTATCCACCTGGCGGTCCTCTGGCCCATCAGCATTTGGACAGGAGACTGCTGAGAGCGCCAGGCAGAGCGTCCAGGCCTAAGAAACAATTTATCTGCAAGTTCTGTAATCGACAGTTCACGAAATCGTATAACTTACTGATACACGAAAGAACACACACGGACGAGCGGCCGTATTCGTGCGACATTTGCGGCAAGGCTTTCAGGAGGCAAGATCACCTGAGAGATCATAGGTATTTGTTTCTTAGTAGTTGTGCCGAGTGTTGTTCTAGAACAGGATTTCCTATACTTGTTCCACTTGCGAATCCTTTTCGCCCGAGAAAATGGAACGCGACCCTGGATATACTGGGTGCGGCATTTAAGGTGACACATGGAAATATCATGAAAACAAAGCATTTCATAAGAAAGTATTTTAGACAATAGTTGTTTGATTTTGAGGGGATAGAGAATGACATTATTTATTTTTAATCTGGTGGACATTTTGAAGGTTATTTTAGGGTGAACTTGGTTTTGTTAAATGAATACCTATATCTTTTTGAACAGATCATTAATCCACGCAAAAGAAAACAATTTTTGTCTCAAACGTTTTTTAATTGTAGTTCCTTTAACAAACTTTATATCCATTTAAAAAAATGTAGTTGACCTTCAAATGACTTTCAGAACGTTCACCAGATTATAAATAAATAATGTCAGTCACTTTCCCCCTCAGAATCAAACAACTTTTGTCTAAAATACTTTCTTATGAAATGCTTTGTTTTTATGATATTTCCATGTGTCAACTTAAATGCCGCACCCTGTATAGTAAGTACATAAAATAAATATACACGCAAAACATTAACTGACTATAAATCCAAGAAATTTAATTCCAATGAATTCTTTGGTCTACTTATAATTTTACATCTTATTACCATTTATCAAGACAAAAGAAAATTTGGCTACTAATGAGATGGATGTGCTTGTTTATTTTTGCATAAAGAGTTAAACCTTGGCTGAATATTTGATACTGTCGGGCGCAGGAGATCTTTGACGTTTTTCAGAGTTAGTCGATATTTTTGCGACCCCCAAATTCTGTTACGCAACCCCATATGGGGACGCAACCCACAGTTTAAGAAGCCCTGTTCTAGAAGCTAGACGTACGAGCATTAACCCCTCTGGGGTTTTTTTTTATGGGCCCCTTTCTGGGCCCAACAGAGTTGGCCGCCAGTATGCTACCAATGTACGGGACAGTTGTCTTGTAAGACTACCCACTTTGCCACAAACAGTGTAACATCTGGTTAATTAATGCATGTAATCAATTATATTTAAGTAAATTCTTAACTACAGTGTGTTATGAAATTATTAGAGTCGCAATACACAAAACATGCTTGTTGGGTTTGCGTACAAATAAAATTACAATATCAAAGCTTTTATACTAGATAATTTTTAATTAACAATTGCCGATTAAAAATATACAAAGAGGGGACACTTAGGTTATGTGATAAAATCTTGAATTTATGCAGTTGGATATAATAATTTGATCACTCACTGTAATGCGAAATGTTTACAGGTTACCATAGTCATCTTTAGAATACACAAAGCGGTCGACGTAGAGTGACTATAGTCAGTCTTACAAGGGAAGGCACGGAAGTGTCCCCCTACGATTTTGATGAAATTTCGTATGTCTGTTAAGCAGTCAAAAATAAGGGATACGTATTTTTTGATCGGCTGAGACGCAACTTTAAGGGGTGAAACCACCCCTCGAAGTTCCGATCCGAAATTTTTTTGTTATAAACAAACTATATTTTGGACAATTTGTTGGTACCATATTATTCTACATAAAAAACCTCAATTCTCGTCCATTAGAAGTTTTCATGTATCTCCTCTGGTTTTCGAGATAGTACTTTCGGGTTGAAACTTCGAGGGGTGGTTGCACCCCTTAAAGTCGCGCCTCAGCCGATAAACAAAAATAGGTATGCTTTATTCTTGACTGCTTAACAGACATACGAAGTTTCATCAAAATCAGAGGGGGCACTTCCGTGCCTTCCTTTGTTAGTAACGAAAGGGTCAAACGAGCTATTTTCGTATCGCGTGAAAAAAGAAGGCGTTTTGTTAAGGAAATCTCCTTGTAATACTCATGGTAAGGTAAAATAAGGGTAATCTTAAAATCGTGATAATCAGAAAAAATTGAATGAACTGAATATCTACGATATAGGCCAGTTATGTAACCGCCTAAACAACTTACAGATTTATATTGTATTTTCATTTTACGATACACAGCAGAAAGTACTTTCACACAATATAATTGAAATGTCGATTTATTATTTCATACATTGGTTACAGTAATTCCATGTAATACATTTATGACTTTACGGTCTAATTTTCATATATAGTTTTCAGATTTATGGTTTCCATCTGAATTTTTTCCATGACACGGTCCTCGCATTGTTTAAACTCATGTTTCGTTCGCCGGTGAATATCTTTTTCCTTAAATATTTTTTATACTGGCGTAAATCCTTTTATTCTTCAGTCACGTTGGATCAATAACTATAATTACATTAAAGAGGTTATCTAATCTGAAACTTCATAATACAAAAATGATAGAATTACATGACATTTGTTGTCACAATCATTACCATATATACAAAATACATGTATTTTACGATCGAGACCAAGAGTAACGGAATACCCACAAAGGGATATCACCGCTAAAAAAAATTAAGACATTAACATAATTTTACCAAAAACCCGAGGCATTAAAATTAGCTTCCAGAAAATTTAAAGAAACTTCAAAACCGCTGATTCAAACATTTCCTGAAAAGTGCACCAGTAATATTAGAATCCGTTTTCTTTCACGTTTTCTGTCTTCCAGGTACATCCACAGTAAAGAGAAGCCCTTCAAATGCGGCGAGTGCGGCAAGGGTTTCTGCCAGAGCCGCACCCTAGCGGTGCACAAGATCCTCCACATGGAGGAGTCCCCGCACAAGTGTCCCGTCTGCGCCCGTAGTTTCAACCAGCGTAGTAATCTGAAAACTCACCTCCTCACCCACACGGACCACAAGCCGTACGAGTGCACCTCCTGCGGCAAGGTATTCCGCAGGAACTGCGACCTGAGGAGGCACGCGTTGACCCACGCGGTAGGGGACGTGCCCCCCGAGGCCTTGGAAGAAGCCCTGAGGGACGACGACAGTCCCGAGGAGGACTGTCCAGAGCCAGGATCATCGTCCTCCACGTCTACGTCCACGAATTCCTCCCTGCCGGCCGCTTCTTCAGCCCCGTACCCATCCCAAGGGTCTTCTGGCGCCCCACAGCCATCCTCCACGTCCTCTCTTCCCCAGAGACCTCAGCTCCAGATCAGGAGAGACCTTCTACCCACCACGAAACCGTCGACCGTGACAAGTGCAGGACTCGGTCACTCGGTCACTCAGAACCCACCATCGGCGCATCCGCCCCAGACACCACTGATTCTCACCTCATACAGACGGAGAATTGGGTCACCGGGTCCCTCGAGGGTGCTCCTGGAGCTGCAAGAGCGGGAGAGGGAAAGGGAACGGGAACTCGAGCAGAACAGAGAGAGGGAACGAGAGGAAGAGGTTTCCCGGCCTCCCAGAGCACCCACACCCCAACCGCCGCCCCCACCCAGGCCAGCTCCGGCGAGGCAAGGATTCACCATAGCGGACATAATGCGACGGTAGAAGGGAAAAGTGAGGATCATCGACAGGAGAGTACCAAATGATCGTCTGCTGTGCAGTTGGGTTGGTTCAGTGAGACTTTGGATGGATCCTCATCGGTATCATTTGGGTCCTCTGATGTGCTGGTTTTCTTTAAATGGGTATTTTTGTATCGATTGGAAGAGCCGGATAGGATGTTGAATGAGATGTATTTATAGGCGAAAAAGGTTTCGGATAGTGTAGATCCACGTGTTACTGATTTTGAAGGTTACGTATTGCCATATGCTATTGACCAAGAGTATGAGACTAGAGTTTATTGAAAATTAAAAGTTTGTACAAAGGATAAGTAAAGATATGAAGGTATTTCGGTTTTTGTATTTTTATATCATGTTTGTACTTGTGCTTTAGGAAATACTTGTTCATTAAAAAAAAGGAGTTATTGAATTGCTTCTTGAATAATTCACCTACCCATCTGGATCTAGAGTTGGCCATTTTGAAATCCTATTTATTAAGCTTCGTGTATAATGTGGCGATAGATTTGTTTAATTATTTAAAATATGATAAAGAATAGAAGAATTTATGTACCTGCGAAATTATTTTTTTCACGTGTCAGGATACAACTAACAATTAAGAAAATAGAAAAATATTTATTATTATATTACCGTACATTAATAAAGTATCCAAGATGACAGATTGTGATCAGTATAAGAAAGTTTTTATATAATTGTTCTTAATTTTTCCTAATTTAAGACAATTAACAATATAAACTAACCTATTAAATTAAACTCTATTCTTTTCAATGACAAAGACCATATATCTCGTAGATTATTTTGAATGGTTTATGTGATTTTTCCAGAGGAGTGAATGTTCATTATCTGCAACGGAAGTTAATTAATGGTATGGTAACAGATCTCATACTTTTGGTCAAATTTTGACCTCTAATAATTTCTATCTCTATTTAATTTAACACTTTACTGTTAAAAAGTTTACGATGGACTTTTTAATACCAACTATTATTTTTACAGAAGCCAATGATTTTCCTTTTAATAAAAACTGGAAGACAATTATTTTATTATTTAGTAAATTCCCGGGGCTTAACAATCTTTGGTATTAAAGAGACCATTGATTAAATTCTATCAAATGAAGTGTCAATATTATTAAAGTGTTAATATTATTAAAACGTAACATTCTTGAACCTATATAGTGTACAGTATCTTAAATGCTGGTTGGTTTTATAAATACTCTATTTCAATCCATTCGTGGATTTGCACTGTTCAAATTTTGATGCTCTTGTATAAGAATATTGGTCACAGAAGATATCAAGTAAGAAGAAAGCATCACGGCATGGTAGAAATATTACCACAAAAATTAAATGATACTATGCTGCAGCTAATATTCAAAAATTGTATGAAAGATATATTTTTTACGAATGTTGAAATTTTGTCGAAATGATAGTTGAAATTTTGGAGGGGGATATTATTAATTGATATGTATATTGTTATACTTACTATTAGTCAAAATTCGCTCTTACAAAAAGTATACCAATGTGTAACTCAATGTCTCGTTATATGGAAATTGATTTTTCTATTTTACACATTAATCATTAAGAATTTGCTTACGCAGTAATGTTTTATGAAAACTACTTCAAAACTCAAGTTTCCATAAAAAATTGTCACCTTTTTTCTTGATATTTATAAATTTTATTAGTTTTGTACATATGAGTATACAAATTATAATATTACGAAGTGAGTTATATTAAATTTTGTATCGACTATTTTTCAATTAAGGAATTTGGTGCGTTATTTTTGGCTGAGTTTGGTCATTGTTAAATTACAACTTTCATTTGCATATTAGTTGTCGCTAATATTCATATATGTATGTGCAACTGATGCGACTTAAATGTATATACAAAGACATATTTGTACTATTCCGTGATGTGATTTTATTCAGACCGGTAATTGATGTTTCTGAACGTAACATCCATGATAGGAGCAGAGCAAGAAAAAGCAGCTTGAAAGAGTACAATATAAATAGTCGAAAGCGTCGACGATGATGAAAATGTATTAGTGCCTTAACATGATATTTTTTGTATATAAGAAGGAGTGTTGATATTCAGTTAACACTGGAATACAGAACCTTATTTTATCTCGATAGATGCCGTTTTGGCAACATAGCATGGAAAATCACAGAAACTATATTTTTAAATTTCTACTATACTGGAGTGGTTCACTGATTATACAGATATACGTAAAAAAAGAGAACAACTAAGCATTCTATTGGGTTCGGTCATACATAATTTTCGTCACAGGTGATAGAAATTTACTAAATCAGTAGAGTAACAGAAATTAAAAAAATGATAGAATCTCACACAATTAATTAATTTTACTAATCATAAAGAATATACACTCGTCAAAGGAAGTTTTCCACCATTCATACATGTATTCTTGCAGAAACCTCATTTAAAAACTGTATTTATCAATATTAATACCTTCACGCCAATCGAATTATTTTATATTAAAATGATGGCAATCCTTGATCGATAAGTCGCGAATGGAAAGCTCAATGTCGATCACCGGTGACCGTCATGGGGGTAAATAAGCGAAGTATCCGGTTTATATTTCTCAGAAGAGAAATTTTACCAAATTGATTATCTCCCAAGTTTAATTTTGTTATATGCGATTTTTAATTACGAAACTATAAATGGTGCACAACTCTTTTTAACTCGTACAGTGACTTACTTATTCGATCACATACTTTCGAAGTAACAATTAATCCTCTATTACCTACTGTAACTCTGAAGACACATACCAACTTTACTTTTACTATTCTCAAGCAAGCGAAAATCTTTCTTTCCATTGTTTCCATATAAAGAATTCTTTGTAGAATCTTGATCTTCAATTCACATCCTTATTATCCTAACTTTGATCACCTAGTAAGGATCAAACTTTAATTTCGAAATTAAATTTACAGTTTGGCAGATAATTAAGACGTGAACAAATTTGTCAGTGACTGTATCAGATAAATATTAACTATACAGCGTCTCACAAGAATTGTTCATTGCAAGAAACGCAGAACCAAAATTACTTATGACCCAACCCAATAAATTAGATACGAATGGTAATGGGAGCTAGTTAAAGCAACATCGTTCCATGCAGCGTCTTCCGGAAAATATATCGTCGAAAATGTGTATTATCTCTCGCGACGAGAAACTCACGATGACACTGGGAGGTTCCTAACGGAGAATCGATTTTCAAGAGCTTCCACGTTCAAGAATAGGCGGATAAAAAGGGAAGAAGAATGGTCCAAAGAACGCCTCCTCCTTTGTCGAGGATATTTCTAGAAGGGGGCAATGTAAATTTCGTGGCCGCAGGAACAACCTGTACCGCCACGAATGACAGGTGCAATAGGGTGTCGAGGCTACTTCAGTTTTGGTGATACCTGCTCCCTTCTAAAAATATTCACCGGATCCCTAGACCAGCGTCCCTCTCGTTTTTTTCTTTCTTTCATTCTACCACTGGAGGATCATTACGGGTCCTTTTGTGACCCAAGACGCGCCTTCTAACCGCAACGATGATCCCCTCGGTTTTACTACCGGTCGAGAAGCGTGTATTCTTTCGAATGGATCTTTTGGGGGCGGGGCAGGTGTGTCTGTGGAATCCGTTCGATTTGCTTCTTCGATTTTATGCTACTCGGTGGCGAACCCCTCGGAATGGTGTCAACGGGTCTTCGATGCGGAGTGTTTTTCAGAGTCTTCTGGTGATATCGTATGCAATTAGTTTTATGAAAATCATGTTATTATAGAACGTTATGTCGTCGAAAGTATAAGAACGGAAAAAAGAGCGGGAATAGTGAGTTATGGAACGTATCGGACATGGAAATATTATTTTGTTGCGCGAAATTTGAGATATCGAGTTTATTCGGATGTTGAAATTAATTACGATTGAATGTCTTCCGTGTTTACTGCGACGGGCATGTTAGAAATAATATTCCTCTTACTTCTGTTGATGGCCGCACGGTGTAATACGACTTCGTTTTTATTCGTTTTGTATTGGGTACTGTATTTTTTATACGGTTACTCACAAAAGGAGAACATATTTTATACATTTAATTAATGTTAAAGCGAGAAATAGTTATCGTAATTTGTATTAGTATAAAACATTATTCATATACAATACATATGTATATACTTTAGATTAAAATGCATTAAACTGAGAAATTAAAGTGGCTCACGAATTTGTTTAAGGATGGTTGCCACATTTATTTGACCAAATTATGTGTCAAACTGCGAATATTATTATAAAATTAAGGAAAATTGATCGCAATCGTAATGATACATGAATAGACATTCCGTAAAAATTATTAGACTTAATTGTTATTTCGAAAGTATGTGAGCGATGATGCGAGTCACTGTATATGTAGTTTATTTTTAAAAATATTGTTGTTAATGGAAGCAGGAAAAGAACAGACAAAAAAGTATCCGTCCAAAGTCAATATTTACTTTATACAAAAATGTTTATTCACTGTAAATTAATACTTTGTTTATCATGTCCTCGTTTCAGTTATTTATTAATATTTGATTAATTAATTTAATATTTGCGTGATTTAACTATAAACTTGGTTCTGTTTTGTTAAATTTGGCGAGTGCGTTTTTCTGCTACTTCCAGAAACAACAATAGCTATTCAAACAATTTGTTAGTTGAATACAGACTAATCTGAAGTATATCGATTAAGATTTATTTATTGATATAAAATATAATTGATAATTGTGACTTGAACATGGATTAAATGTATAAAATATTTATATTGTCATAATGTGTAAAATGTCGTACATCTAGAGTAGATGGATACTTCTGTGAATATTTGCAATTGGATCATTGTTAAAAAGGAATGTCCGCCCTTTTATTTACAGTTCACTACTTTGCACCCACAAAAACTGCAGATAGTACATAATTTATTTTTATAACAAACATAGTGCCTTTAGGTGAACAAATATGAAATAATAAATTATTTAACTGATCTCCGATCAACAGGTTAATAAGAAACGCAATAATCATACAGAAT